AATTTCATTTGACGGCCTCTTCAACGTATGTCCGATCCACCTACATTTTCTCCTACGTATTTGTTCAGTTGCTGGCTCTTGGTTTGTTGCCTGCTAGTCAGAGTTTCCTGTTGCTAATTCTTTCTGGTCAGCCATTCGATCTTCAATCTGGAGACAGCGAAGAGAGCAGCTGTTGATAAATGTCTGTAGTTTCCTGTTGGAAATCCTTTTCCTGACGCGCAGTGCAAGTTTCTGACCTGTATAGAAGAACTCACTGACTGACTTGACATTTGTGTTGAACAGAATCCAAATCTTGTTCCTAATACTAACTGAGTGTCGAAGATTTCTAAACTGGTTTCGGGTTGATGGAGGCCTTCAAAACTCTATAGTCTTGTATATTAAACAGAGGAAATATGGAACATTTACCTGTTTCTTTTCTGTTTATTAAGAATTTTTGTCTTCTCTGGAAAGAAATTACACTACTCTAGTTAGAGAAAATAAGTTACCTTAATTTTGATGTATTTCACTTTTCGGCATCCAACAATTGCCATATTTCTTGACTTGAAGGCGGCCTTCGACTCCGTGGATCGAAAGGTACTATAGCAATGTTTGACTGTGAAGGGAGTGCCAAGAAAGTAGATTGCACTAATCAAGGCACTCTAGTCAAACTCACGTAGCCATGTAAGGGCTTATGGGGAATTGTCATCTGAATTGATAACAACCAGTGGCGTCCATTTCTGTTTAACTTCATCATAGATATGCTAATGGAAGTATCCTTAACTGAACTTAACGACTTAGGAATCGACTTGTTACCAGGGAATAGTCTTATGGACTTAGAATATGCAGATGACATAGTCCTGTTAGGGGAGGATGCTGACAAAATACAACAGAGTCTTCTGAACACCTTGAGCAGCAATCTTCGTATGTTTGGTATGCGATTCGCCCCTGTAAAATGTAAGATGCTGCTACAGGAATGACTGGACTACATCAACTCCCAGCTCAGTGATAGGGATTGAAGTGATAGAACATGTTGACCACTTCACCTATTTAGGAAGTTGTATCAGCACCAACGGATTAATTGGTGACGAAATCTCAGCACGGATCCAAAAAGCTCGAGCTGCTTTCGCTAACTTACACCATCTCTGGCGTAGGCGTGACATCCGACTGTCAACCAAGGGACGTGTGTACTGCTCAGCTGTACTGCTCGCTCCGTCCTTCTCTATGGCTCTGAAACATGGCCAATACAAGTTGAAGACATGAAAAGGTTGACTGTTTTTGATCATAGATGTCTACGATCAATTTCTCACGTTAGGTGGCATAATAAGGTAAGTAAGTAATGTTGACGTTAGGCATAGAGTGTTGGGCAAAGAGGGAAAATCAATCGAAGAGGCTATAAAGTTACATAGATTGAGATGGCTAGGTCACGTGGTGCGCATGCCTAACCATCGCCTCCCCCACCCCGACCCGACGGGCATTACTAGCTAGCTGATGTATAGGTGCAGCTTGGAAAAGAGTAAGAAGTGGTGGCCAAACAAATCATCGCACCAATCAATCCATGAAATCCTTCCTTGTCAGTTAAACTGAGTCAGGTAGGGAGATTCAGACTTCCGGGTTGGTTGGAGCCCGCCCTCGGGACTCTAAGAATCAATCCATGGCTGGAGACAGACAATAGGTGACATAGCTCAAAATCGTTGTCAATGGCTTACGCAGATGTATTCAGTCTCTGTAATATTCAGTCTGATTTTCCTTTCTACCATTACTCATTCTGTTTCACTCTTATACTTGTCAAAACTCTATTGATTCTCTTCACTCATCTTTTTGTCTTGTCTACCTTTGTGTGGTATTTGGAACGTGGCAACTGGAACTGCTGCACTTCGGTGCAGCCAGGTTCTATGTTGAATCCAGACAGACATTTCACTTAGTTTCTGCTTTAGAATCCTTTTTATCTTCTTAGTTAGTTTTACACCAATAATATTATCTATCGAAACAGTCGAAGTTCTCCTGTTCAATCACTTCCTTCAAAATATATACAAACAAAACCGTCTAGTTCATCTTGATTACGACTAGTTACTTCCTATGAGAGACCAGTTAATAGTTCTGTACATAAGTGTGGTTATGGCCCTAGACATCCAGCCAATAAGATGAGTAGGGTCAAGTTAGCAATATTTTCTCAAAGATTGTATGAGCATATGAGCATACACAAAAAAGTTCACCTTTACATCGTACTTATATTTTGTATGCCTTTACCAGTAGATCTGTGCCTTCTTTTTTTCAATATAAACTAAGTAATTTGTAAAAAATTACATTTGTAAAGTCTCAGCGAGATTGAAATGAGTAATTCCAACGTTTCGTTCGGCAATCTGGTCCGAACTTCTTCAGGGAAATTAATCGAAATTAACATAACAGAGGTTTATATATAAAAGGCACATCTTTTGTTTTTAAAAACTTTGTCCAATCATGATTCATAAACACAAGTATTAACAAGTATAATAAACAAAATTGTATGAGCTGTGATCAAAATTTGACCTCGGACTTACAAATATTGGTCTACCGTTGTTAAACACTTTAAACAGAGTGTGCATGCGTGTGTGTGTAAACAGTTGTAAAAACATTTCTTAACGTCTCCATAGGAAGATATAGACAGTCAGGAATTTGACCAAGTATTATTAATTAGTGATACTACATATCCATTATTATTTATTAATCAGGATTTCCTATGCATCAGCTAACATCACTCCTTCATGTCTGTTCAAAGTGCTAGTATCTAGAATTTCGATTAATTTCCCTGAAGAAGTTCGGACCAGATTGCCGAACGAAACGTTGGAATTACTTATTTCAATCTCGCTGAGACTTTACAAACATACATTTTTTACAAATGTCTACTACTCACTCGGCGCCCAAATATTTTAGAACTATTCTGTCAAATCTTGACGACAGTTCATGTAAATTAAGTAATTATTTGCGTTTTTCCGTTAATCGATTACGTTGGATTGTGAAATTCTCAGTCTCTGTTGGTATTCCGGCTCCTACTAGGAAGGATGCTTCCACAATTCCTAACGATTAACGTGAATTTATTTATTCTGATTGATGGTGGTTAGCAGTGAAATCTAGATAGAGTGTACATTTCGTCCTATTTGGGTCTCATCACTGGATACATCTGTGCATTCCCAGTGAATGGCTTTTGTGACCCATGTGCCTTAGTTAATAATGCTTTGGTAGTTGAAACGACAGACGCAGGGTTTGAATCTCACTGGGAACACCATGTGTCACTGGAAATGCTTATATACGGAGATGAAGAGTCACAAATAAGACGAAATGCATATCTTCGATTTCACTGCTAGTCACACTACCAACCATTGTAAAATCAATAAATTCACCATTATTGAGAATTAGTTAACAGTTAAGGTAGTAAATAGGAGTGTGAAATAATTATATGGTCATAATCACCGACCATGGTTCGATCCCCGGTCACAGACGCACTCCTTTACCTAACTAAGCCAGAAATAAAGCTGGTAAAGAGGAAAGGTTGGGCATGAGGCTAGCAACCTCATCCTGTAAAAATAATCACCAATGCTACAGAAACTTCAAGCCTCTACCTTGAAGCCCTATGTTCCACCTGGAATGTGAAGGAATAAAAAAAAATAGTTTTTCAGATGTAGAAGTTTGAATATCTTTCAATCAGGAACATGAATTCATTTGAAAAAATTAAAATCGAGGAGAGAATTATTAAAGCTTTAGGCTAACTTTTGACAGGCATTTTTTCTTTTTCGGCAGGACTTTTCCTAAATGTTTCCCACTACCCATTTGATGATTAAGTTTTGTTCAGGTTGAACATAAATCTTGGTAATGGTTGCCTTACAGGTCGTCATCTTCTGCAATATTGAGCTATGTGCACTATTGTGCAAATCAGCTCGGCTGAATTTGTGTACATTCGAATAAAAGATAATAAAAGAGACGAAAAAAATGTAAGTGATATAATTAGAGGATCCTGTCACTGAAAGATAAGATTCCCTTCACTTACTTGGAAAAAAACCATCAGCCAGTGCCAACGGGTTGATCTCTGACGAAATCTCAGCACGGATACAGAGGGCTAGTTTCGCATATGCCAGTTTACGCCGTCTCTGGCTTAGTAGACATGATATCCGACTGGCTATCGACCAAAGGGCGTGTGTACTGCTCTCAGTAGTCCGCTCCGTCCTCCTTTATGGCTGTGAGCAAGACCTGGCCATTGAGAGTGGAAGACATGAAAAGATTAGCTGTCTTTGATCATAGGTGTCTGCGTTCTGTCTCCCGTGTGAAGTGGTACAGTAGGGTGAGCAATATTGAGGTTAGGCATCCAGTGAGTGCTAGGTAAGGAGAGGAAATCAGTCGACGAGACTGTGAAATTACATCGACTGAGATGGTTAGGACATGTGCTACGTATGCCTAGTCATCGCCTTCCTCGACAATGGGCAATGTTACCTGATATAAGGTCAGGCTGGAAAAGAACTAGCCAGTGGCGGTCAAACGAAAACATGGCTTCATCAGTCAATAAAATCTACAACAGTTAGTTTAAGCCAGCCACGTAGGAAGGTGTAGATTGGCTTCCTGACTGGTTGGGGTCCTCGAGACGGTAAAAACCAATGGCGCCTGGAAACAATTGATGACATGGCTCAAAATCGTTCTCAATGGCTGACTGGTGCAGATGCATCCACTCCTTGTGACTTATGATTTCCAATGAAACTGTTTTGTTCTTCGTTATTACTATTCCTTTGTCTCACACCTCTGTTTACTGTCTCTAATATGCATTTCTCCTACTTTCTTCTCTTGCTTTGTGTTCTGCATGGAGGGAGTGTGGCGACTTGAACTTCCGCACATATGTGCAAAGTTCTATGTCGTAAACAGACAGACAGACAGATAAGCAATAAGTGCCAGGAGGAACTTCATTTCAAACGTTTTGATAAACACTCAGTTTTAATAAGTTTTGTTTTCTTAATCCTTTCATCTTTATTCTTTGTGTTATTGAATATTCTATCCTATAGTGATGAAAGAATCACTCCAGATGATCGCCTGTGTGGAAATGTAAACTGTGTAAAAGATCGTTTAAACAATTGGAAGATAATTGTACAGAATTTGAGGAATTATTATTTGGTAAGTCAATGAGTCTTCTTTTTCAGAAAAAACTTAATTGTCGATTCACATATATATATATGCATTTTGAGTACATCTGGTTGACGAGTTTTTACTAAGTACGAAACCATGTGTTGAGAACAAGATACTTACTGTTAGACTTCTTTAAAATGCTTAACTTTGTTTCTGCATTAGAATTATTTTAAAGTTTGGACAGTTGTGTGGTGTGTGCTACTGATAAGATTTATCAGTAGTATATGAGTCACTCGTCGGCATAAAAACATCAAATAGCCGGGAGACACATTTGATGTCAGAGAAAGCAAATGATACAGTGTGGCGGAGATACATGGGAGATGTGAAAGAAACACAATATGAACATCAGAAGTAGCACAGCATGGAAGATCTTTGCAAATGGTGATTTGAAGATGAGGTGTACATAATTTGGCTGTATAGAGTTGCCCAGAAGAAGCTGAACCTGTTTGTTCAGAAGCATCTCGTATAGCCACTTCCCTAACTTTGACCATCATTACATTTATGCAAAAAAACGGATACTTTTCTACTCCTCACTAAGCCGTTTACACGTTATTACTGTTCTGAATATTCTTACTATTCTGTGTAATCAATGTGAACATGCATTTACTCATTTTCTCCGCTTATTTTTCCAAGACGATGCAGTATGTAATTTTTGCGAATATTTCTATCATTGAATTTTCTATAGTTTGGTTTGTAAGGGTTAGTTATGTTTTTACGAGTTGATCACGGATTGATATCAGTTAGAGAACCATTGAAAACCAGGGAGTACTGGACAGCTGCTGTTTCATCCTAGTTTGGGAATCATCGGCAGTACGCACCCACTGGGATTCGAATCCAGGACCCTCCGGTTACAAGGCATGCTCGTATACCATTCAGCCACTGGGACCCGATTCAATGGCCAGCCCATGAATTCTAACTTCTACCAATTCGTGATTTAGCGCGACCCCAACCATTGTCGTTGGTGAGACATCCATCCACACACGTGACATCTGAATGGACCTCACTGGTCATGACTTCTCACTAGAACTCCAGGAAACTTCATCCTGTAGCAAGTCACTACATTAATAAGATTGCATTAATAAGACTGATAAATTTCTGGAAACCGAGGATCGAATTGGACAGAAATCAGAGAGTACAGACGTTGGGATAAATGTAGTCTAGCTTTAGGAAGCTCAGTTTCTCATAGACCTAGAAATCAGATCACAACCTTCCGCCAATTCATTTATGATATTATTTCATTGGGTTCCGAGTTTAGCATAGGGCTTCAGTGGTACTTCTGCATTTCAGTCATCTCTCTGGAGTATTTTTTATCTGGCTCCAAGATCACCCTCATACGATTTCCCCTATGTCACCCTCGGACACCTTACTTGCCGATTCCTATTCGGGTTCCACTCAAGGGCCTTACACGTGATGTCACTCAGTATCCTACATAGCGTATGCCCAATCTACCTCTTCTTTGTTCACAGTATTCGATGAGCGCTAGGTTCTTGGTTGGTTCTCTGCATTATTAGAGTTTCCTGTTGCTAATCTTTCCTGATCAGACACCTCATCTTCAGTGTTTAGCCAGTGAAGACAGTTGTTGGTGAAAGTTTGTAGTAGGCTGTTTGAAAGGCTTATCGTGACGCGCCAAGCTAATTCATTTAGCTGGAGACATATAGGTTGGTTGTTCTGTTGTGGTGAGAGATGGCTGTTAGCCAAAGTTGGTAGACAGTAATTGACGTCAATGTTTATGTCCTCAATATTGGTGGTGAGAAAATGACAACTAAGGCTTTGCGTAGGCGGATACAGTTAGCAAATGGATGATCTGACACAGCCACAAAGAGATGCAAGGTTAACTTTCTGTGAGAAACAACCAACCAAAAGACTGTATTTTCTACTAACAATAATCTACAATAATGTACATTAAAATCTATAAATATGTGTTGATTTTCCTTAATAAACGATCTGTTGCCTGACCCTTGTCTTCTGTTGTTACACTGTAACAACTTCGCTTAAAATTATCTGTTATCCCCCTACGAAGCATTTAACGTAATGGGATATGTGTGGCGATGGTGTAGTGTAGTTTTGGAATGCCATCTTCTGTAGTATGTAAGTAAAATTTGGAAAGAGTTCTAAATTCCAGTGTAGCTTCAGTTCAATCCATACTCCCCCCACCCACCCCCATACCGAAGTTTATATCATACCCCCACATGTGAAGTTGTATTGTTAGGTCACCTTATGATGCCGTTGTTTTCTTAAGTATAACTGTGATTGAACACTAGTCAGTAACTAGTGTAATGTGTCTAGTCCTTTCTTTGGTGCACACTGAATTCTATCAGTCAGGTTTTCAATGTGGCCAGCATTCTAGGTAGCTTACCATCACGGTGCACTTCAATTTTGTTGATATTAGATAGTTGGAGGCAATCGGCCACAGGAAGCCTTGCTCGACCTAGGTTTCGTCGTCCGAGTTGGCTCTCACCAGTCAGCAAAGCGGCGTATCTGCACAACCTTGAAGGAATTCATCTCCCTTCTGAAATTCAAACCCGCGTCATTCATGGAGTGTGCTACAGTCAGAGACGTTACCACTGAGCTATTCGTCCTCGCGATTGCCTGCAACCAACTAATAATATCAACAATAATTCAGTGTGAATAATATTCAGTGGTCTTTTCAATATTATTATTATTATTTACGAAGAATTTAAATGTTCCATTGAAATTCCTTCTATTCGAATGTGGAATTTATTTAAATTTCTTATAGTTCATTAAAAATAATAATAATTTGCTTTATTCCAAAACAGTACTTGTGATACAGAATGGAATTCTCAGCATTTTTACTACAGTATTGCATCCAGTTAGTTAGTACATTAACAATAAATAAAATTCTACATAGATTAAGGGTAGTCTCATTTCATTATGACAATAACATATTGACATGTCGGTAGCAAAGGCCGAAGGTGAACAGTGTTTGAAGGTGTTAGAAAAGAAGGTGCTATCATATTTACTGGCGTAACCGGGAGAAAGAAACAAAGCAGCACGTAACGGAAAAAGGGAAAGAAAGAAAGAAAATGTTGTACCTATAAATGATATGAGTTGGAAAGACGAGGTCCAGTTGTTCTACTGACTATTCAGTGAATTTTATGTGTCACACCTAATGCTTACTTTATCGCACAGAACACGAGCTAAGTAGGGTATGGTTGAGTTTTTGCACTTGATGGTGTGAGCATATAGTTTTCTAGATAGGCTTGTGGTTTCGCCTGATGAGATGCAAGTGGAGAGTTGTGAGTGAAGAGGGTAGTGTGAGTTAGATAAAATGGATTTGGCTCATTTTTCACATGAGTCCCTGTGCCTGCCTGTCGACCAGAATATTAACAAGCTGGTTAAGTGGCACGTTGCTTACCCTGCTGACAACCTTTAACATCCTGCGTAATATGATGTTATAGTCTTTCTTCAGTAGCCTGGGAAATACTAAGGGGGGGGGTGGGGAACAACAGAGAATAATAGGCGGAATGCGAGAGTTAACGAATTGTAGGAGTAGGTGTTGGGTTGGGTTATACCAGACATTCGTCTTAACTTCTTGATGTAGAAGGTAAGACGGAATATTTTTTCTTAGAAATCGTCAAGATATGAGACGACCAGGAGAGATGATCAGCAGATAGAATGACGCCTAGGTATTTAATTTCCGACTTGGTTTTTTCTAAAAAATTTTATTATTATATGAAGTTCCAGTGTCTGTCTAATTGGAGAAGTTCTTAAAAGTCATCATCTGTACTCAGACAAGCATGTTATCATCTTACATTACGGTCTATTCTCTCTCTCTCTCTCTCTCTTCATCATACTGAATTCTAAACATTTTACAATTTTGTGTGTGTGTGTACATTTTGCTGATATACACAGTCAGTCAGTCGGTCAGTCTGTCTGTCTGTCTCTCATTCACAGGTTGATTCATGCATGTCTGTGAATATTTTATTAGCAGAGTTTGGCTTCCTATCATGTTTTTTTTCTTCTCTGCATAATTCAAATTTATTTATTAATTTTGTGCATTCAATGATACTTATTTTGGTTGAAACTAGTATTAAATAACAACAAGTGGAAACAACTCTCTATACTACTTGAATTTATCGCTTAAGTAGTTTGTTTCTGCTCATGCCATAATAAACTTTAAATGAAAGATTTTATCTCTGCCTGTCTATCAAATTAAATTATAAGATTTTTCTATCAGTGTACAATGATTTTATTCCTTTTTGATTATTAGGCCTTGTTAATTGGGTAGTAAAGCATAAAAGAAGTGGTGGTACTTTGGTGCGTCAGTTCTTCAGCAGTCGGAATGCTCTCCAGCTGAAGACGTGGTCAAGGGTTCTACTGTCGGCCGACGCACTCCTAAACCTCACCTAGCTAGCTAGCTAGCAGTAGTAAATCGGGAAAGCAGGGAAGGTTTCGCTATTGAAACTAGCAGCCCTATCAAATAAAAAAAAGTTAACACCATCGCTGCTGAACCTTCAAGGCCTTAAAACGGAAGTCCCCTCCTATGTGTTCCACTCAGAACTAGAGCGATGAAATGAAAGGAATTGTAGTACTTTGGTGTCTATAAATAACTGTCTAACAGTTGTACATATCAAAAGTTGACGATGAAGCTATCACTATATTTTGAAGTAAGAAAGTGATGTTTCATCTAGAATTCAAAGGATACTTTTGTATGCTTAATATGTTTCACTGTGAAAGAGTTTGATTGCAAACGCTTTGGAGAATCGTACTAAATTTGTTGTCCTCCGCATATTCAATATTTTGAAAGATTAAGAGATCTCAACAAAGTGTCCTGTATCCATGGGGAGTCTGATATTTATACTTTGTGAATATCTACTTTTCTTTAGGTACGAATTTCTTAGAATATTCTCAGAAAACCGGATAGGCACTCTTCTCTTTGTCCTCTTAATGTACCGCCTACAGCAAGTACATGTAAATTTATATATAAACGCATTTGGAGGTGAAATTACCAGGATACTTATCCAGTT